CATTCCACACTCACGCACACCACAGAGTCGCAGAGACACCCACCACGTGGTGTCTGTTAGGTTTTGCCTGTATCCTGCTTCCCCACAACACGGACACTGTCTCACCCTGTGACATGTCAGTGGGCAGTGGGGAAAATCCAGGAAGTCAGCCTCAGGCCACCTCCAGGGGTTCCTTTTCTCCCACACCAGAGGATGTGGTCAGCATGGGTGGACCTTCCCTCTGATCCATGCAAGGGACTGGGCATTTTGCCATCAAGCCTGACCTCTCAGTCACAAATTTACTAAGCTCAGGAACCTAGAACCAGCCTACATGGCCTCGAGCGAGGGAAATGAGCTCCAAATGTCCATACACACTGCCATGGTTTGGATATGATTTGTCCCCCAAGGGGTCCTGGGTGACATGCTTGTTCTCCGCTGTGGCAATATTAATGGGTGGTGGGACCTTTAAGACACAGGACCTAATGGGAGGTCCCCTTGGGTCATTTTGGGGGCCCTGCTTTCAGAAGGTAGTTCTGTGGGGCCCTGAGGTTAGTTCTTGCAAGAGTGAGTTGTTGTAAGAGCCTGAGCTTAGGGCAGGGCGTGTGGCTCAGTGGTAGGGCACGTGGTTAGCATACAGGAGGCCCCGAGTTGGATGCTCAGCACCACTAAACAAATAAATAAAAAATTTAAAAATGAAAGAGAGAAAGAAAGAGGGTCTGAACCTGACTCCTGAATTGCTCTCTGGCTTCCTGTCTTGCAGTGGAATCTTGTTTTGGCAGGTGACATTCACCATAAGCCAAGTTGGTGCTGGCACCGTGCCCTGGAACTCCAGACCATTAAGCACAATAGACCTCTTTTCTCTACCGAATTATCTAGCCTCAAGTATTTCATCAGAGTAACTAGAAATGGACTGATACACATTGTAAGTTATCTTAAAAATTAAAAAAAAAACAGTAAATTCACGTAAAAGGTAATATGAAACTGTTGACAGGGGTTACTTCTGGGGAAGACTGCAGGTAGACTTTCATGTTCCTCTTAATGATAACTTACTTATGTTGGCTTGTGCATGGTTAACAAATTAACCAAGCAAAACCAGAGAGTGGGCGGCGGGAGGGAGAGAGAGAGAGAGAGAGAGGGGAGCCAGTGTTAAAGTCTCCCCCTACTCACCCACAGGTAGCTACAAGTAGAGAGGCTGGTGTTTGACCCGCTCACAAAGGAGCTGCCTTGCTTCCCTGGGACTATGACCGATGAGGAAGGAACGCTGCAGGCCAAGGCCATGGGGGAGTCCCCAGCAGTGGGGCTGGGGGTCCTAGGTCCAGTTGGGGTTCCCTGTGCACCCCAAGGGCCTTTTAGGTCTGAAGAAACAGAAGTGCCCTGGTGGCTCCTGGGGCTGGGGTCTTGTGACAGCAAACCCTGAGAGGCTAACCATGCTGGGAGGAAGGAAGAGTCATGCCAGCCTCTGCAGAGAAGCCCCAGTGCCTGTGGCCGCCAGGAACAGCAAAGCTGTGTCCTAAAGCAGGTGTCACCAGGCAAGGAAGTACCCTGGAATAGGGGTTTGAAGGACAGGCTGGGCAGGACGGACGAGAGGAGATATTCGTAGAGTCAGGATTCTGCAGGGCTCTGAGCACAATCAGGCGGGGCTGTGTGCACACCGGCCTGCCTGGGGTGGGGGGTTGTATGCCTGTGCATGCTTATACAGGCACCAAGGGAATAGAGTTCTGGTCAGCAACTGCTCGGCTGAAGTGCCCGGCTGGTGTGGGGAATCAAGAAAGCAGATGTCTCGAGGGCACAGAGGGAGGAAGTCTGTCCACCCTTCTCTCAGTGTGTTTGCTTCCTCTTGATAAAATTGATGCATGGCGTGCACAGGAAACAGGCAAATAGCATGTGGAAAGGGTCTCCTGGCATGGGGTTCATAGAATCATTTTACATGCATGGGAATCATGGCTCAGCTCTTATACAAGGTCCTTCCTGAGGACTCAGCTGACATAGACAGTGGGCTATGTCCATTCCCATTCATCAGTTGTAACCAGGTAAAGTGACCTCCGCCTGATCTGGGGAGGCAGGAGCTGGGGTGGGTTGGGGGACAGAGCTCAGGCCTGGCATCCCGCCAGGGGGGCTAATCCACATCTCCACCCTCCCACCCCCAAGGCAGGGCTGTCCCAGGCTCCGAGCTAGGCACTTACTTCATGGTCAAGCTGTTGAAGAGCCAGGAGCAGAAGCCCTGGGGAAAGGAGAGAAGAGAACAGTGAGAGGAGCCAGGCCCCTGCCCGTCTGCCCAGGGCCCAGGCAGCCATGGGTGATCCTGGGCAGGCGCAGCTGTGTCCAGTAAGGGCCCCCTCCCTCCAGGGAATTAGGGGTGACTGCTGAGGGAAATGTCTACCCAGAAGCGAGTGGACACCCCTGTCATCCTGATACAGGAACGGGACTTGAAAGGAGGGCCCAGGATTGAGGGGAGAAGGGCCTCTTAGGAGTTCATCTGCAGCTTTCCGTCTGTCCTTCCTTGCTTCCTTCTGGAAGACGGCCCTCCAGGGGCCATGTTTCCCTCTGGGATCCCAGGGGCTCATCAAAGCTTCAGACAAGGCGACAACCCTTCATGGGCCCATTTAGGTGGCCAGGCAGGCCCACTGGAGGTGAAGCCAGATTTTAGGCGGGCAGTCAGTATAGACAGGTAGATCGAGTCAGGCTGGATCAAGGAGGACAATTGGAGTGGGTCTGGGAAGTTGCAGACTGCCCTCTGAGGGACTGAAATGCCTTCAGAGCCCTTCCTCCACCCTTACCAAGATACCTTGCCCCTGCTCCAACCTGTTGCTAAGGTAACCTGCCCCAGGAATTGTCCCTCCCTCCCTGGAGTTATAAAAGTAGTTAATTAATGGGTCCTGGGCTGCTCCATCGGGCCCTTCCCCCATTCACCTGCTTCTCACCTTTTGGCCACCCCACCTGAGCTCTCTTGGGCCTACTCACATATGCAGGAAGGAGAGAGATAAGGGGGAGAGAGCAGGAGAACAAAGGAAGCCTGAGACATACAAAAAAGGGCAAAAACCCCTCACTTCTTGGGATACCAGGATACCAACCATGGCCCCTTTCTCCCTCCAGAGAGAAGTCTATGTTACTCCCTTTTTAAGTAAACCCTGCTTCCTATGCCTGCCTCGGCCTGCTTCTCTAATGTTAAACTTCAACTTGTGAGGGAGCAGGACTGGTCACTGGTAACCAGTGATATCAGATGGACAGTCTTCTGGAAGGGGATTTTCCCAAAAGGAAGCAACAAGGGCAGGCAAAAGAAATAGAAACAGAAGAAAATCCTCTGCTCCCTCACATAAGGCCACCTTCCGGGTCCTCTCCCCGTGTCAGGTTGCCTGGCCAATCATGGGGGTGTCCACTGCAGGGACACCATTTTCCCAGCCATTATTCTGAGGAGCCAAAATAAGGACAGATACCCTGATATGAGTCAGGACAATGAAAGGGGCACAGCAGTAATAGTAAATGTCCCCAGAGAGGGGGTGACTGGTAGATAAAATGTGGGCTGGGAGGTTCAGGCACCCCTCCCCCCACATGGAGAGTCCTTGTCCACTGCCCACCCTGGAAGCAAGATGTGGCCCTCATTGCACCAACAGTTGAGAACACACCTTCCCGGGAAGGAAAGGGTGTTTCTGCCTCTTCCACAACAGGTGCACAGGTGTATCCAAGGCACCTCCAAGGACATGAACTGTCATACACAGAGAACAGACAGATTGTCCGTGAAAAGACAGAGGATGTGTGAGAAGAGTGTCCGATGTGCCCTTGAAATTGTGTAGGGGGTGGATACATCTGTCTCTCCAGTATGTTTATGTGCGCGTGCACATCTGCACACACGCGTGCACACACATGCTCCCCCTTATCCCTCTGAAGGCATAAACCACCCAGAGGCTCCCCCCTCTCTCCTGGTTTAATTGAATTGCTCTCCTCTGCACTGCTGCCATCATGGCTTACCATCTCAGATATTTAAAAAATAATAATAATCCTTTGGTCATTGTAAGAACAACAAAGTAAAAAAAAAAATGATGCGTCTAAAGGTATTAACACCTTGTAAGGCAGGTGTTAATGTCCTCGCTCCACCTTGAGGCCTCCAAGAAATGAAGTAACTTATCTGAGGCTTCATAGTTTGAATGGGGCAGATCCAGGCAAGTAGAGGGCCTGATCTTTTGCAGGGGTGATCGGGGCAGGAATATGGTTCTGCCATCTGGCTTAGCACAAGCAACAGTCCTGTATCTGAGGTGAATCGTGCAGCTGCCTGGATTGGATTTGGGGCCTGGTGGGAAGCAAGGCCAAGCTCCTGCCTGATCTCACTGGGGCAGGCAGACATTCAAGACTTCTTGCTGGTGCAGAAGCCGGTCATGCTAGACAGAGTTACGGAAGTTAAAGAAAACCTGCATTTTCTATGTGCATACATCAAAAGGTCTGGGTCCCTGGGGGTTTGTGCCTGGGCTGAAATCTAAACAAAGGATGGGGTGACAAAGAACAGCCACCTGGGAAAGGGCGAGGGGAGAGCATGGGAGGGAGGACGCTCTCTTGAGGTTTAAAAGGTGACCGATTAGCTGGGGGTGGGGGTGTTGAGAAGAGAGACAGGCTGGACAGTGGGGAAAGAGACCAAACCACCAGGCCAGGCCAAGGCACCTGCAACTTACTGCCAGAGCATCAGGACAATGCTGAGGAGTCACACAGGGCATTCCATGTCCCCCTTCATGGGGATGTCTAGGATGCAGGTGGGAAATGGATGAGTAGGGGGAAGTAGGACCTAAGGGTGGTTAGAGCTGCTCTAGCCACCCAAAGAGAGACTGGTTGAAGTCTGGGTGGGGCCAGCTGGAGGGATGGAGAAAAACACTGGAAGGTAAAAGCAACCGAACAGGGTGGGCAAATGGATCACAGCAGGGGCCCCGGGGAGGGGGGGGGAGTGAGAGAGGCAGATGACGGGGAGGATCTCGGACAGAGACTAGGAACTGGTGGGCGGAGTCTTACTGTGGAATGTTTTGGGCAAACTGAATTCGAAATGCCTGGACAGTATCCAGGCGGGGCCATTTTCAAGTCCATCGGGAGACAGAATTAGATGGAGATAGAACTTAGAGGTCTCAGTGTGGCGACAGCCAAGGAAGCTGTCATTGCTCAGGAGAGGGTGAGAAGGAGGAGGTTTGGGATCAGCTGGGGGGACTCCAGGTGTGGAGGAGGAGCCTGCAAAGGAGACAGAGGGAGAAGAAACCCCCAAAGCATGACATCACAGAAGCAATCAGAAGGAGGAAGGAGGAAGGAGCCTGTCAGGCCGGGCACTCTGACGTGGGGTAAGATAAGGAAAGGCTATTGGACTCGGTGCAGAGGACCACTGTAGCCTTGGGGCTCAGGAGGAAAGAGAGGGTAAATGCCCCATGGGCGGGGTTGTGGGTGGTGGCGAGGAGGCCAGCTGAGGTGGGCTGGGGGACACAGGCAGCTGGAGCTGTGAAGGGCACCAGAAGTCCTCTGGGCTCCCTCCCACTGACCAGGTCTCCCCTCAAATGTTGCCTTCTGCCCAAGACCAAGATGGCTGCCAGCTGCAACACAGCTCCCTCCTATGGCTGCCAGATGGTTCCAGGCATTTCCGCCGCACACCCATTCCCTCCCCACATGCATCTGGCTGGGTGTCTCTGCAGCCTGGAAGGACGTGCCAGAGGTGGGATATGGTCTGTGGTGTTCCCTGCTGGCTCCCCATTCCTAGATCAGGGGCTGGCGCACTGCAGGTGCTCTCTAGCACCTGGCTGGAAGAACGGACACGTTCAGGTGGTGGACTGGTTCCACAGGAAGGAAAGGAAGGAGAACATGGGATCCCTGGGGAAAGGGGGGACTGCAGGAGCCGCCTCCTGACTGCTAGAATCTTCTACGTGACATGGAAGGTGAGTCCTTGGGGGTGGGGAGAAGGGCAGGGAGAAGAGAGGTTTGAGAAAAGAAGAAAAATTCATTTTAAAAATCTAAGGTATTATAATAGGCTGAGACTTCTTGGCACCCTGGGGAAAGGCGTGGTCCGTATCTCCACTTTCTGGAGGGTCTGGGAAGGCTGAGGAATTGGCCAAGGTTACACTGCGGAGTAGTGGAGTCCGGCTGGCTGCAATCCTCTGCCCAGTCCTGCTCCCTCCTGCCCTTACTGTGACCACCTGCCCAGGGTTAGGATCTTTGCCGCCAGCTGTCTCTCAGCACTCACCTTGTCCCTGCGCTCCATCTCCAAGGAAATCTCTGAGGGAGATGACTTCTCACTCTGCTCCCCATAGATCAGCGAGGTCAGGCTGCCAGTCAGAAAGGGTGACAGGAATATGGAATTGAGAAACAAGCCTCAGACATCTATTCTGCTTCTTCTCCTCTCCCTGGGCTGTGGGCTGCTGGCCAGGAGAAGGCACGCTTCAAACATGATCTCTGGGTACAGACCGCATCACCCCTGTGGCCAGGGGCACCATGCATCTTGGGAATTAGCCGCATGACAGTCTGAGACCAGAGAAAAACGTGGCCCTGTGCCCAGAGATGGCGGCCCACCAAGTCCCCTTCCTGCAAGGAGGGGCAGAACAGGGGCAGGGGAGGGGTGACAGGACCACCTGGTGCAGCGCCAGCCCAGGGGACAGCTGCATCTTGGTTTCCACAGCACATTCCCTCCCAAGGGCGCAAGGAGCTCACCCACTGTGACCCCAGCCCTCCTCACCTGTCATTGTGGATCAGCAGAGCCAGGCGCCCATAGTCCCACGCAGCCTTCCGGAGGAAGGAATAAACCACGAGGACGAGCTACAGGACCGGAAAAGCAATAAGGGGACCCTTCCCCTGGGCAGTCCCCTGCATTCCTATCCCTGAAGTCCCCAGGATGCTCCCCCACCAGATGGTGAGTTCTGTCAGGGATGGAGCCCTGTGAACCCCACATTCCTAGTACCCTGCAGCTTCCTGAAATGGAGTGGGTGCTAAAAGTTGGTAGTGTGTGGAGAACAGTGGTAAAGTCCTCAGCAAGGGAAGGAAGCAAGGCCCAAGGGGTGGCCACCAGATGGACTTTGGACAACGAAGCATTGACGATAACTCCAGGAATTCTGCCTGCTCTGTTGCATTCTCCCCTGAGGTTCTCCCGTCTGAGCCACCCCAGGTAGGATGACATCCAGGTAGCCCGCATCCCTGGCTAGCATCCATTGGACAACGGGGGCCCCTGCTGTATCCTCAGTTCAACAGCCCAGGCCAGCGGCCACCTCATGGTGCACCCCCCTAGCACCCAGACTCACCATCCACAAGATGATGTTGAGGAACAGCACAGTGGGGATCCCCCCAAACGGCTGCCCCTGGAGGACGGTGCTCCGAGACTGGAAGCACTCGCTGTATGTCATGTTGCGTATCCTCTCATGGCTGCTCAGGGGCTCCATTGGGGTGGACATCCTGGTCGGCTCCCTGGGCAGCACAGGGGTCTTCCCTTCACACACAAAGACTGTGGCTCACTCTGCAAGACACAGGGCATGTTGGGGGAACTGGGGTCATGGTCCCTGAGTACACTGGACACGCTAGGCCTGGGGCACATCAGAGCCAGGGACCAGTTCCAAGCCTGGAAATGCTGGGCAGGCAGGAAGTCCAGCCCATAAGATGGCACAGGCCTTGTCCTGTTAGCTAGCTGCTGCCTCCCACCCAGATGACAGAATAGCTCAAGGGCCCTGGGGGAGTTATTGTGTATCCGCTTGATCCCTTAAGAAAAAGAGTTGTGAAATGCAAATCCCAAGAGGTCTCCTTATCACTCCCCGGTGAAGCTCTGCTTATATAGAAAGTGATGTATGTCACAAAGGCAAGCTCAGACCCCAGAGTGGAAAAGTTCAAGTTGGAAAACAAACCATGTGTTCACAGGATGCCCAAGCAGATGGGGCTTGCTGTCGATCACCTCTATCCTTTGCAATTCTCTGATCCAGTATCTGGGCCTGAAGGATGCAGTGTGCCCAACACAGAAGAGTGACTTGGGAAAGGTCCCTATATCTTACAAACATGCCTGGGAACCGGGGCGATCAGCACCTACCCGGGTCCACAGCCCATCCAGAGAGGCTGGGCATCTTGGTAAGACTCAAATGCAGAGGGGTGGTCACAGGCATCCGTACTTTCCAGCCATGGATAAGAGTGTGGAAAAGAGTGGGCGAAACCGGAGGCACCCGATCATTGCCTGAACCAATCTGCAGGACTGCTCTGCACTGTCAGGAGCTTTTATTTTGGCTCCAGGCCCCCCCTTCCCCTGGAGCCTCATTATTCCCATTCAAGAGGAGAAGCCTCCTCATTCCTTCCTTCAAATACTTGATGAGCAACTGCTTTGTGCCAGACCTGAGGCTGGTGATACACAGTGAACCCAAGAGATAAAAAGCCCTTCCTTGTAGGAGTCTAGTGGGGAGGAATGGGCAGGGAGGGGTCAGTGAAGGCCTGGCTAGAGGGTGGTGGCACTTGACCGAGGTCTGGAGGACAGAAAGGGTGTGGGGAAGCCCATATCAGGCAGAGACGAAGGCCCTGGGTGAGAGCTGGCCCAGGGAGTTGAGGGAAGACAGACAGACCTGTGGATGGACAGGGGAGACGGATGGAGGTGGCGTTGAGCCGAGGAATGGCATGAAAGTAACCTAGGTTTTAAAGGGATCACTTTGGCTGAGAACAGAGAGGGCAGGGAGGTCCCAACAGAGACACAGAGAGGGCAGTCAGGGTCCAGGCAGAAAACAGCAGCCTGGGCTGGGCTGGGGCAGCGGAGGTGGTGGGAAGGGTCAGATACACGGAACCTGGAGCCTGAAGATGTGCTGGAACACTGGATGGAGAATTTGAGGGAATGAGAGGAATCAAAGATATCTAAGGTTTCTAGCCGAAGCCTGGAAAAATGGAGTTGCAGTCATTGATAGAAAAGACGAGAATAGCAGGGCAGGGAGAGCCGAGGGCGGGTGGGTGGTCAGGGTCTCATGCTGGGGAGACGTGGAACGGGCAGATGGATGCCGAGTGTGCAGCTCAGTAGAGAAAGGAGACACAATTGCGCAACAGAGGCTACCAGCATCCAGATGTCTCTCAGGAGCAAGGGCCTGGATCACAGAAGGAGAGACGCAGAGGGAAGAGAGGGGCTCAAGGCGGGGGCCAGTGACCAGGGCAGCAGTCGATGACCATAGTGAAGTGGGTCAGTGGTATACCTAGGCTGACCCCCACAGTTCCAAGACAGGAGCATTAGGGGAATAGAGGAAGAAGAGTTGCAGAGAAGTAATAACGAAGTCTCTCCACCCTTTGGCAGCGGTGTTGGGGGGAGACACAGCTGCTCCGTGAGAGGCTGGTTCAGGGGAGTTGAGGTTTCAAAGAAAGTGAAGAGGCAGAGGAGCTGGGGCGTCTGTGCTTTAGGGCCCAACCACACTGATCTCAGCTCTCACACTTGCTCACTGGGGACCTTGATCAAGGTACTCAAGTTCCCCATGCCTCACTTAATTCATCCGTCAAATGGGGATGGTGAGAGCTGCTGATGCCCACTTCACAGGGCTGTCCAGAGGAGCCAGGGGGTTGAGATGTATCAGAACGATGCCCGGGACACAGGAGCAGTCCACAGAGACTTGCCAAATGAGAAGCGGATGTGGATTTCCGGGGGCACAGTGCAATGATCTGGGGAGTTGGGGAGGACAGGGAGGTGGGGATGGAGAGGGAAGGAAGGTGGCCTGGGAACCTGGGTGTCCTTGGGCTCACTCACAAAAATAGAGATGGAGGGTACAATGAGATTAGTCCTGGTAAAGGGAGGACAACAAGAAAACTTCTTGCATTCCTACTTTTTGGATTGGCATCTAACAAGAACAGGGAGTCTCCTGCTGCCCATCTTTCTAAGTTACCCCACTTTTTGCTCCTCTCTTCTAAGGGAGCAGCGGAGGCTGCACCGGGTCTTATTGTCTCTACCCCAGGTCGCTGATGAACTCACTAACATGGTTAGCCAAATGGAAACTTATAAAATTTTGCATTGAACATGTGCACTCTAAGTGGTAAGCCTTCTTCCCAAGCATCAGAATATAGCATCAGGGCGCTTCCTGGGAACAGGCGCCTTGAAGCAGTCGTCTGAGCCTGGCTACATCAGCTCCAGCAGTAAACTACAGTCCCGCCAGTGGACACCAGGGGGAGCCCGCGCCAAGGCAGCTGGTGGTGCAACTTGTGGAGAGACTTTCCCTACCTGTCGGTTTTCCCTGGAAAGGTCCAAGTCAGGACTGGAAGTGCCACTCAGCTGTGGGGTTGCTGTAAAAGAACAAATGTGGTGAAGAGACCACCAGACTTAAGGACCCAGGAAGCCCTTATTGGGCAGCTTCATTCCAGAGAACCTCTTTCTGCTGTTGGTGCTCAGAAGCCCACTCTTTAGCAGATGCAAGTTTTGCAAACTGTTCCTTCCAGTCGGCTACTTGTCTTTTCATTTCCTGATGAGGTCTTTTGAAGAGCAAAAGTTTTGAATTTTGGCGAAGTGATCTCCAAGCTGAGATGTGAAGGTGCAGGTGTGAGCACTGTGCAGTGTGGGGGGGTGGACAGATAGACCCACGTTTGTAAAGACAGACGGGAGATGGAGCATAGCATTTGTGTAGGATGTGTAGGATGGGTCACTGGTTTGCCTGTCCATCTGTCTGTCTGTCCATCTGTCAGTCCATCATCGATCTGTTCAACAAGAACTTATTGAGTATCTACTCTTGCCAGGATCTGTGTAGACCTATGAAGTCCTCCTCAGGGAGTTCAGAGCCCTTAGGAGAGGGAGAGGGGAGAGGATGGATGTTGGCCCAGACTACCATTCTGCCTGGGAGGGCTGTCAGCTACAAGGTGTCAGCCTCTAAGCTGGGATGGAGGGAGTCAGTCCAGCAAGTTGGTGGGGTGCAGGGTTTCAGTCCAGCCTGGCCACCAGGCTACAGGGCAGGTGAGGGAGGGAGAGGAAAAGAGGATTTCACCCTCTCCCACCTCACTACCCCTTTTAGCTCTCTCAGGCAGCAGGCAGAGATGGTAATGAGGGAAGCTGTTACCATGGAAACCCCGAGCAGCACCCAGCCTTCCTCTGTACCCTGCGCCATCCCCAGACCTGCCTTCTTCCTGAAGGAAGAGCTAAGAGCACAGGAAAAAGAAAACCAGAAACCCGAGGGTGCTTCAGGTACACAAGACGGGGCACCAACATGGCCTGAAGTGGCGGGGTCAGAGAATGTCTCTCTTTGGGTATCATCTTCACAACAGGGGACAAAGGCTTTTGGGAGAAGCAATGGGGAGACTTGGGCTGTCTGAAGCCAGACTGTGTGGACTTCAATCCTACACCCACCCTTGCTAGCTGTATGACCATGGAGAGTTATTTCATCTCCCTGAACTTCAGATCCCAGATCTGGAAAGTGAGAGTGATAATAATACTGTCTCCCAGGGTTAACACGGAGAGGAAATAAGATAATTCATATAAAGTCCTCTGAACAATGCTTGAGAAATACACAAGTGCACAAGATTAGCCAGGGCCTTCGTCACCGTCATCAGCGTATTTGTGAGATGTTGGTGACTGGATGATCCCTAGGCTCCTTCCTCCCACCCACTCTCTTCTGGGGCAGGTAGGAGGACAGCTGTGGAGATGGGATAGACAGTCTGCTGTCTCTCAAACTGTAGCCACCAGGCAGCCATTGTCTCTGTTCTTTCTGGGCCCAAAAAGCAAATGTCAGTCTTGCTTTGGGGCCTAGGAGGGGCAGGGGATGAGGCTGAAGCTGGTTGGTGAGTCAGGATCCTTAGGTCTCCTCCAGAGCTGCAAATCTCATCAGATGACAGAGCATGTGGCCTTCCTCTTTCCCATTTCTGCACCACTTGGACTCTCGTGCCCAAAGCTGGACGCTCTGTAGCTCTGGGCTTGGGCTAAGCTTTCCTTGCAATTGGGGGAAGGCTTTAAGAAGAACTTGCATTGTTTTTCTGACTCCCCAGCCCGTTGGCCCTGGATACCAGGCTTCCAGGCCTTGCCTGGTTTCTCCAACTGATGTTCTAACTAGCTAGAGGCCAACACTTTGCCCTCTCCTTCTCCTTCCAGATCATCTGGACATCTGAAAGCCAAGGACTCAAGTCTCCAGGATGGCTCCAGAGTTTGGAGGGCCCTGCGGAGGGACTGGTTTTATCAATAGTGAAGACTTTACTGAGCATTCACTGTGGACTACACGTTTTCCATTTAAAAATGACTTCACTTAATCATCATAAATATCCTAGGGCACTAGAATTATCCCAAGATGAAGGAGAAAATTAAGGCCCACAAGGTTACACAACTAGGCCAAAGTCATAGTGCTAGTAAGTGGTGGAGTTGACCCTCAAACCCAGGCAGCTTTGCTGTCCCCCTGGAGCCTGGAGCCTCTGCTGCAAGGCAGTGCTGGGTGAGGGCAGAGGAAGGGGAAGAGCTGGCTTGAGGCCTGGTTCAGGGGCACAGCCTTCCCAACCTTTCACGCAGTGGGAGCATGGTGGGCCCAGCCAGGGATCCAGACTGGACCTAGGGCCATTAGGCTTCTTCTCCCAGCACTGCCCAGGGCCTGGTGAGCTCCACCCCCCGACCATCTGGCCCTCTCAGTATCCTCCACGAAGTGTCATCTGTTTGTTAACAATGAGAAGGAGTATCTCCCGTGGTTCTGGACTTCCACAAGCAGGAGTTCCTGGCCAGGGCACCCCCTGCCTCCTCCTCTTCTCTGGATCTGCTCCCCCTTCCCCTCAACTCCAGGACGTCAGCTTACACTCCCTGTGGCTGCTGGGAGCTGTACTGGCCTGAGAGGTTCTGGTTCATGGCCTCCCACACCTGCCTTATTGATGGTCATGAATCCTCTAAGTATCAGTGAGCCCTTTCCTTGCTCCAAACCGACCCCAAGCTCCACAGCCAAGCTCTGCCCAACTTCACATATGAAGAAAATGAATTCTCAGCAGCTCAGAGACCTGCCTAAGGCTGGGGAAGGGTGTATTGGGGGTGAGAACTTGACTTTTCTGGACCCCTGTGCTCAGGGCTGTTATGACCCCTCAGTCTGGCAGGGGCACTGAATCAGCTGATACTCACCCCTCTCAGACATTAAGAGTGAGACCCCTCAGTCAGTTCTTGGGTGCAGCCAAGACTGAGGACCACCAGCCTAAGATTTCAATGGTTATGTGCATCTATATAGGAGTTTATAAAGACCCCCCCCCCAAATTCACTGACTCTCTGTATAAGGTGAGAAGGTGGGGTCAGGGATGTAGCTCAGTGGTGGAGGACCTGCCTGGTGTGCACAAGGCCCTGGGTTTGATGCCCAGCACTGAAAGCGGGGACACAGGGAAGGATGGGGAGATGTGGGCATAAACAATGGCATCCTGGTGCCCTTGAGCCCTGCTGCAGTGGGGCAGGCCAGGAGACTGGTTCTTTTGCTCCCCTCGCTTTCCATCCCCCGCACTGGCTCTGGGTCCGAGGGAGCTGACTGTGGTGTCCAGCTCTTCACTGGGATCTCCCAGCTCTGGCATTTCTGCCATTATTGCAGAGGCCACCAACCTCGCCACTTCTTGGCACCAGCCCCTTGTCTCCACCTCCTTCTTTACATACTTGGTTTTTGCTGCCAATTCCTGGTATGACTCACTCTCATTTTCCCCATGCAGCCAGTTCCCTAATAACCTGTGGGGTCTTTGACAGCAAGGACCGTGTTTTTTCTTAAGCTTCCCATGGTTTTCCCACGGAGACCAGCATGGGAGCACAGAGGCCTCAAGGAGAGACAGAAACATGGCTCTTTATCCAGACCCGTATTCAAGTATGGAAAGGAATAAATGTGGGTGATCTGCACACATTTGTGGAGTGTGTGGAGAGTACCTGAGTCCTGAGTTTTTGCCTACCCCTAGCACATACCTGGTTTCCAAATCTCTGTCCCCAGATCACAGCTTGGAGAGGAGGGAGGCAGCACAATTTTGGGTCAGGAGA